GTCCAAACCTGCTGTTAAATCTAACAGCTAGAAAATCGACCTATTATTTCGCCCCAGCCAATGGGATTGGCTGGGGGATAACGGACTGTCAAATTTAAATTTATAACAGAAATCAAAATACATGAAAGTTGTCCTGTTTTCTATGTCGGAATCAGAAAGCGGTCTTGTTTATAATACAATCGAATTTTCACGATTTTATTCAATAGTTTGATAGAAATCACTGATATTCAGAGACCTTTGACAGCTTCCGTCAAATTGCATTTCGATGAGGTATTTTCCCATTGGTCCAAGGGACCGTTAAATATTAATGTTGGTGAAATTGGCCTTATGTCTGGCAATGGAAAGCGCTAGCACGGTAGTTAGGCTTTACTGTTCCCTCTGGACTTTTTTATGCGCTCGAAACTTTTGACGCTGATTAAACAGAAGCAAAAAAACTTCTAACGACGTAAACTCAACTCGATATTTCATGCTAATATCTGCATGTAACTGACACCAGTCCAGTAAAACACAAGCAGGGATCGCTACAAAAGTTTCAGACATCGCAAAGTAGAGATAGTACGCATTGCAACCGCTACCAACTTCCGTATGGTTTTGTTTGTTGATCTTAAGAGAAGTTCTACTATCTGCAGTCGCGAAGTTTATTAATTTAACATTCATATGACAGCGGCAGAATATTCGCAGGAACTACAACCAAGACAAATACGACTCGGCAAGCATGCAGCTCATCAGTTTGCTGTGGTGCTTTCATATTTTGCGGCATGTTGGCTTCCCTAAGAAGGCTTTAAAACTGTCTTGAGAATTTATTTTATGATATTATTTTGGCAGCGAGCATATATTTAAAGTTGCTGATACTTTGAACTGTTTTGAATAGTATGGGGTCTCATACTTATATAATAATAAAGTTGATTAATAACGAAGTCCATATTACTCGCACTTAAAAGGTCAGACAGAGATAACTCACATAAACCGGCAGGTCGGTTTTGTTTTCGAGGGGGACACAAGTTTAGCAAAATATCACGTTAGCACGTGCAGCCCCCTAAGCGGAGGTGACACCAACCCTAAAATCTTAAATTGAAAGGGGGGTCGAGTGATACCTAGTTTTAAAGGTCTTCCAATTCCCTTTATAATGATATAAAGTTAATGTACTGAACTGAAGCTCATGTATTTTACATCATTATAAAGGGAATTGAAAGACATTTAAAATAAGGTATGACTCGATCCCCCTTTCCATTTAAGATTTTAGGGTTGGTGTCACCCCCGCCCAGGGGGCTGCACGTGTTAACGTGATTTTATCCAAACTTGTGTCCCCCTCGAAAACAAAATCGACGGGTCTAAGCGTTTTTTCGAAAATAACTGAGATGCCAGTAAATGCGTCTGTTTTGTTTTCGATGCGCCACCCAAAAAAACAATAAAATAGTTCATTCCGCGCTTGCTACAAGTGAGCATGAAGTGAACGACAGCTAGTTTCAAGCTAACGTCTTGTAGGAAAACCTACATAATGTCGTAAGAAACCTACATAATGTAAAAAACGATATAATTGTATAGTTACATAATGCCCCTGCTGTACATACACTGAACTTTGCCTCTCACATAGGCTAAAACCCATATACAAGGTGTTTTAAATTTGACCCTCACCATTGGGATCTCGGAAACGGTAAGAAATACAAAGCCGCTTAAATGTGGGCAAAATTGCGTATTTCGGTAACTAACAAAATGCCGCTTGAAAAGTTTCTAAATTCAAAGTACTTTCGGAGCTAGTCGGAAAAAAAAGAATTTTCCTAAGATAGTTTTGATTTTTTCCTGACTTTATTCGTAGTGGGATTTCAAAATAAATTGCACATAAACATCGCCACTTTTTCTGTCATACATTGACATTGCGAAACCTTGGTTATTCAAAAAAACACAATTTCATACAGGCCTTGCAATTATCAGATAGTACAGAGAATAACGGACAACAATATGAACATCTGCTATGATTAACCTCTGCTTATTTATGATTATTATTGTTATTACCGTATTACAAGTTATACAAGATGGCGTAGTCAAATTTTTACTTCGAGGCTTTCGACTTCTATATCCGTATACATATTGCTATACTGTAACTTTATAAATTTAAATGGAGTTTTCAGTCCTAGATTCAGTAATGTATTTTCTTAGTTTACCATGAATTTGTTATGGGAAAGAAAATTATGCGGCAATAAAAAGGTATGGTGAAACCTGACCACAAAATGAAAATTTTATTGATGGTAATAACAATAGTAATCATAAATAAGCAGCTGAACGGAACCGTGGCAAATGCTTGTTCCGGAAGTTGTTCTATCCAGTAAACAACTTCTTCCCGTTCAAGTGATTGTACACGCGATAACGAACACCTCAGTACCGATTGCCGGATGGCGGTACAAGTCCGTCAACGGGCCACTTTAGGTCTACTTAATCATTAACACGCAAAAAGAAGGCGGTAGACAAGGACCAGACGACCGAGGCGGTACCAGACGCTAGCTTTTCCCAGGGTCTTATAAATATCCGCATGTTTCCACATCCAAGCTATGCAGTCGGTTAGCTTCCAAACCAAAGAAACTAATGATGATAGATCCCTCAAATACTAAGAACTCCGGACGTAAACTTACTCCATTCTCGGAATGTCCGGGTGGAGGGTGGACTCCAGGGAACAAGATCGAAGATAAAATCTGTTTTACGAACATCTGCGGGACTATCTGCAACATTGATGCTGTTCATCACTACCCGCAATCCCATCGTCCCGCCATGCTTTTCTTGGCGGAGACAAAAATCTCTATCTGCACCGATTAACCATCTTAGCTTCCCAAATGACGAGGTGCACTCAAATCTGAGAAAGAACGGGGGAGTTGTGGATTTTGTCCACAGCAGTATATCTTGCTCCAGAGATGTTTCTTTTTAATCAGACCGGAAGGACATTCTCTGGCTTCGCCTCAACTCTAAAACATCCCCCAAATGTATTTGCTGCCTTTATCGCCCTCCTCGGACCATAACTGGGATGACCTACTTGAATACCTCGCGGTCAAAATCGGCTTCCTGAACATCAACCACGCCGTTTCAGAGGTAGTTCTCCTCGGTAATTTCAATGCCCATAAAGACCGATGCAGTAGGTCGTGCAGTTGAAGCGTTTGCTCTTAGTCAGCCCTAATTTTTTTTCCCGCGTCTCGTCACATGCCAGTAGCCTGCTGGATCCCTTTCTGACTATGCATCCTGTCCCTTACAGCATTGCTGTGCTCCTCCCTTGGCAACTCAGACCACGGTGTTGAGGAGGTTAGATTTCGGTCAGAACCCGCTGTGTCAGCAGAAACTCGCACAGGCCGCAAAATTTGGAATTACGGACATGCCAACTGGGAGGGGCTCAGAGACTTCTTCTCTACTTTTCCTCGGAGAGATGTCTGTTTCACTGACGCGGATGCGACGGCTGTATGTTCTTCGATAACCGAAATTATCGACGTCGGAATGGAGGAATACATTCCTCATACAGTGAAACGGCTGGTTTAACAAATCGTGTGACACTGCTCTTTAGCGGAAGGTCAAAGCACGCAGAACCTTCTTACAAAACCCCACTGTAGAGAACAGACAAGCCGACGTTATTCCAGAAACATATATAACGAAGCGGTAGCAGTGCCAAAAACCAGCCCGATATAAACTTTAGACACAGGGTAATGTCGCAGCGCAATGGCAGTCGATCTTTCTCGACGCTGGTCCAGCGGATTGAAAAGAACTTCTCACACAGTAGCCTTCCGCCACTTACCTATCTGGATGGAACGATTCTATCCGACTCGAAGGCCAAGGCGGAAGTGCTTGCCAAGATTTTTGCTGCCAACTCCACCATGGACGTCCCCCCCAACGCCAGAGTACCGTCAATACAAAGGGTTCCCTACACTATGCGGGAGGTGACGTTCAGGCATAAGACCGTAAGACGAGTACTCTTGTCGCTCGACATCATCAAAGCTTCTGGTCCGAACTTGCCATTGTACTGAAGAGGTGTGCAGCATCCATTTGTAACAAATGACCCGTAACGTAACCGCGAACATGTTATGTTACGGCTAGTAGGGACGAATACTGTTGCATGTAACCGTAACCATTTTGACACGTGTAACCGTTGCAAGCCGAACCACCGCTTTTCGGTTTTCAGCCGTCGCATCAATGGACTGCTACGTTACGCGCGGCGACAAGTTTTGACGAGTTTATAGTATCGCGTATCTTTTAACCTGTTGCATTCGAGATTTTGTTGTCTTATTGTGAAACTGTTATGGAGTGGAGTAAGGAGAATATATTAAATTTCACAGAACATTACCATGCGAGAACTATAATTTGGGATCCTCAACATCCCGAACATTTTAACAAAATTAACCCTTAATTTGGTATTGTATCTTATACGATACTACATATTCAAATATCCCTGTTAACGATACGAGTCAACATATCAAATCTTTTTTGCCGAAAATATCTTCATTAGGCATTCAGTCACTTGAGTTGGTACTTCTGGCGCCATCTGGCATTTATTTTGTGGATTTATAATGTAATGGCCGAAACTTGTCAGCGGACAGCATTGAGTGGCGTGAATTATCGGTAATTACTCATAATTTTCTAGTAAAGTAAAACAAATATTCACAAAGAATTTGTAACTTTGAGGACATGGATGTTAGGTGCATCTTATAGAATTAGATTTAGATGATAATGATGAGCCACTTGGTCAGAGTTGCTGATCTAATTTTACTGTATCTCGTAGTCTACGTTGCCAGCTCCTCAAAAAAGGGATAGTTATTTGTTGTGTATCTAATGATCTACAGTGCCAAGTTCTCTTTAAGCAATTGATAGTTTGTTGTGTGTCGCATAGTATACGTTGCCAACTTATCGTAAATTGAAGTATCCTAGGTGTGCATCATATTATACACACACTTAACCTAAACATATGTCCAAATTAATAAAATATGTCTTTATTTCTGGCTCAGATACTAGTGATTATGTTTATTTTCCAGAAGGAACTATTCTATTATGGCACTAACACGGAAGGACAAGATAATTGCCCTTCTACCACCTGCATCTTCTGATCTGAGTGACACAAGTGAAGATGAAGAATTTCCTGGAAAGCTGTTTGATATGATAAGGGACTCAAATAGTGAGTCTTCCGAGGCTCCATCGATTCCTGATGAAGCAGTTGCAGTAATGGAGGATATAATGAATGATTTGTCAAACACCAATGACGCTTCTCCAGATGAAGCAACCCCAGTTGTTCAGAATATACCAGAAGAAGTAAGTCTCTGTGCATTTTCGACTCCAAGAACTTCATTTGCGATTACACCACTAAAAACCAGATCACATTCTAAAACGGGCAAAAAAAGAAAAAATGTGAGTCATGCTGTTAGAGACAAGCTGATAAAAGACGAAGTCAGTAGGAAAAGGAGTAAGGTGAACAAGAAAAAACTGGAATGTAGCTGGACAAATGAACAGTTTGCTTTTCCAGTAGATATTCCAGAAGACAATTTTACCACGCCTGATAGAGTGAAAACGCCATACGAGTACTTTCAGATGTTCTTCTCAGATGATTTATTACAAATGCTCGTTGACAACACTATTTTATACTCAGTTCAACAAACCGGCAAATCAATATGTGTCACACTCGAGGAAATGAAAGATTTTTTGGCTATTCAAATCCTGATGGGAATAGTCGAAGTGCCAGCTTATACTGATTATTGGAGTCAAAAATTTAGATATAATGATATCGCGGAAATCATGTCGCTAAAACGTTATCGACAGATAAGAAGACACATTCACTTTGTTAACAACGCAAATCAGAACGACGATCCTTACTTCAAAATCAGGCCAGCTTTAGAAATAGTGAGAAGAAATTGTATGAGTGTAGAAGAAGAGAAAAAACAGAGTATTGATGAAATGATGGTACCATATAAAGGGAAGAAGGCCGGGTCAAAGCGGCAATATATAAAATCTAAGCCCAAAAAGTGGGGCTTCAAAATCTTTGTGAGAGCAGGTGTATCTGGATTGGTCTATGATTTTCTCATCTATGGAGGAGAAAAGACATTCAGAGAATATCACCAGTTTACCAGCGAAGAGAATACTTTAGGATTAGGAGCGAAAGTTATTCTTAGTCTATGCAAATCTATGAAAGCCCCTATCTGCTCGGCTGTGTATTTTGACAACTTCTTTACGTCTTTGGAATTGGTGCACATACGGAGACAAAACTACGGAATTTTATCTCTCGGCACAATAAGATCCAATCGGCTGGGGATTTGTTCATTAGAAAACGACAAAGCCTTGGCGAAAAGAGGTCGAGGGTCATTTTGCTTCAAAAATGATAACGTCAACAAAATCAGTTGCGTTAAATGGTTTGACAATAAGGCAGTCATTCTTGTGAGCTCTTATGTTTCAGTAGAGCCAGTAGCTACTGCTACACGGTATACGAAACACAAAAAAGATAAAATTGATATACCATGTCCGAGTATTGTAAAACAGTATAACCGCCACATGGGTGGAGTTGACCTTATGGATATGTTAGTTTCACTTTACAGAACTCGGCTGAAGACTCGTCGGTGGTATTTATCTATTTTTGCTCAAATGATAGATTTATGCATGAATAATGCTTGGCTTCTTTACCGTCGAGAAACTAAGCTGACGTGTGCAGAATCAGGGGGCAACGTGGAAAACATCAGTCTGAAAGAATTCAGATACTATGTCTCGAAATCATTGAGAATGAAAGGAAGATCAACTGACTCGAGAGTGAACGAGAATGTAAACCGCTAAAGAAGAAGGAAGGCTAGTAGAGCAATGTAAAAAGAAAATGGAAACCCTTTTAGCATCTCTTAGAAGAGAAAAAATGAAAATGAAGAAATCTATTGAAACTGGAAAAGGTAAGTACCTATAAATACAAATGTACAGGGCAGTCCAGTGAAAAAAGTGAACAGAGTCGTTTTTTCTTTGCCTTCGGAATTTTCGCAAAAAATTGAAAAAGCAGTTTCACGTATTTTTATCCGGGGAATCCGAAAATACCAAAGAGGAAACCATTGAGTCTCAAACAAAAGACGTGCGAATCAAATATTTCTTTTTTTTTAAATCAAACGCCTTACTTTTTATTTTATATACTAAATGACATATAAATCCGAACACCCAGTTTAAATGGTTTTATTTTAATAAAAGTTGGTGAATGTATTTATCTTAGTATAAATAACGAGTGAAAAAATTTTCAGCCTTATCAGTTGGACATTCCGGTTTTTATACTGCTTTTTTTTAATTCACTAACGCTCTAAAAATGAATATTTTAGCCGCAGTAAAGAATCAACGTTGGCGGATTTTGGTTCTTGACATCATTTACGATCGGTTACGATGCCTAGAGTACGGAGACCTGTACGATTTCGTCAACTTAGTGAGTTTGATAGGGGCGGTATAGTGGGACTTCGGGAAGCTGGACTTTCTTTTCGGCAATTGCAGTTAGAGTGCAAAGAAGTGTAGACACTGTGGTTAAGTGTTGTCAGGCATGGCTTCGAGAAGGCCGTACGCAAAGACAAAGGGGCACTGGACGCCGCCGTAGAACAACAGACCGTGAAGATCGCCGCCTAAGATTATTGGCCTTAAGGGACCGTTTCTCCACTACCAGGTCCATTGCAAATGAATGGTTTGCAGAACACGGAAGACCTATTGGCATGCGAAGTGTTTACTGACGAATGAAAAGTTTTGGCTTGTTTTCATACCGGCCACACTGGGTCCTCCCTTTAACTCGAGAACACCGACGTAATCGCCTTGAGTGGTGCAGACAACGGTCACTCTGGGATCAGAAATGGAACAGTATTGTCTTTAGTGACGAGTCTCGATTTTGTTTAGGTATGCACGATGGTCGTGCCAGGGTTAGAAGGCGACGTGGTGAAAGGAGGAATCCACAGTTTTTTGTTGAAAGACATGTTCATCACACTGTTGGAGTTATGGTTTGGGGTGCTATAGCTTATGGTTCCAGGTCACCTTTAATCTTCATCTTGACACCCTGGCAGATCCAACTTTCCAACAAGATAATGCCCGACCACATGTTGCAAGAGTCACAATAGACTTCTTTCAACATAATGATGTCACATTTTTACCATGGCCACCAAGATCTACCGACTTATCCCCAATTGAGCACGTGTGGGATATGATGGGTAGGAGATTGCTCAATTTGCAACGTGCTCCTCAGACTCTAGAAGCACTTCAAGAGGAGTTGGTGGTTGCCTGGAATGAGATACCACAGGAGTACATTGACCACCTGATCAGAAGCATGCCTAGGCGCGTTGGAGAATTCGTAGCACATCAGGGTGCATCCACACATTATTAAAGGTCAAAGGGCTTCAAAGCAGTGCAATCATTTTGAAATTTTTATCATTTACTTATTATGCTTCATTAAGTACTTACACAAAATTTTATTAAAATAAAACCATTTAAACTGGGCGTTCGGATTTATATGTCGCTTAGTATATTTAAATTGCCAACTTATCTTTGGTCCTCTCTGATATAAAATTTATGCATGCCGATTTGTTTTATATTTCAGTCTCAGCAGTTTGAATTTAAAACTTCAAACAAATTATATTTTGCAAAGTAATAAGCAGATGTTTTGTATAAAATATACCTTTTGTGTACCTGATAATGTTTCAAACACAATTCGCTCAAATTACAAGATTAAAGAAAAACGGTATACATTAAATAAATATGAAATACGTGAAACTGCTATTTTGAATTTTCTCAGAAATACCTAGGCGAATGCTGTTCTGTTTACTTTTCCCTTGATTTCACTGTGGTTTAATAAAATACAAAAGAAACAAAACTAGTTAATTGTTATTTACCAGTATGTTATGCTAATTGAAACTTTTCGATTTTCAAGGAACAGAAGAAGTTTACACAAGCACTTGGTTTACTTTTACTAGTCTGCAGTTCATTTTGGATAAGAATAAGACAAAGCCGTCATTGAATACTGTAAGTATTTAATAACTTTACACATTATAACTATCTAAACTATGTCTTAACTGTTTATTACATCTAGGTATTTTTGAACAGTAACTTACAATTTTACATTATCTTTTCTTCTCTAAGCATACTGATTTTGCCACTCTATTTTACCTTCTTTAAGGAAATAATCGGCTAGTTCATCACGCGAATTTATAAAATTTGACTTTGCTCTACGTGGTATATTTCTCAGAGGTAATAATGAACTGCATTCATCGGATACCATTGCTCTCCAACTCCCATTTGTCGGGACACCAGACTATTCAGAATCAAATGTTCCGGGTGGATTGTAAAGGGCAAGTGAGTCTGGTCCTCGTCGTAAGAAGTGCTGTAAGAAAGCAACAGTTAACACAATAGTTGATGCTTTTTCTGGTGAAAGGAGCATAGGTTTTCGTAATACACGAAGCTACGCCAAAAACATTTTCAACAACCCCACGAGCTCTACACACCCTATAATTAAAAATTCTTTGTTTTGATGCTTTTGCATGGTAGCCCGAATATACTTTCATTAAGTTTTCTGACATCGCAAAAGCTTCATCTCCAAGAAAAAAATACGGTATTTTTTGTGCTCTCCCATTGAGATGAGCAGGGTGAGGGATGTTCAGCATTCTGTTTTCCCATTTCTTTGTACAAGCAGATACTAGCAAATACTCCACCGTCAGATATTCGGCCTTGGCATCCTACATCCACAAATATAAAATTATAGCTAGCATCTACCACTGCAAAAAGAACTATGCTGAAGAATCCTTTATAATTGATGTATTCACTGCCACTATTTATGGGACATTGCAGTATAATGTGCTTCCCATCAACTGCTCCGACACAGTGTGGAAAGGTCCATGTTGTTTCAAAATCGTTACTCACATGCAGCCATTCGTCTTGTGTTTTCGGAATCTGTAAAAAAACAAAATATTAAAAAAAAAGATTTTTGGAAAATTGAGAAACATTTAGAAAAGTACAATATTTCTAAATACAGCGTCATCCTATAGATATGTTGGGAATTTGTATTTTGTTTTGAATTGCAGATGCATCTATGTGAAGATGAAGTTTGTCATCAAGAAGGAACTGGATCTACTGTTGAACATAAAGCATCGGCTAAAGTGGATGATCCTGCATCTCAAGAGAAAGAATCTAGCAACATTGCGGAGAGCCCCCAAATCAAAAGAATTATTCAGTCCTCGGGGAAGAACAGAAAAAAGGCAAAATCAACCATGTCTAGTGGTACCGAGAGTGGTACCGAACGCCTTGATCAAGCCTTCCAAATTCTCCAATCCTCAGCCAAGCAAATCAAGATGAATGTTACTGCTTTGGAAATTTTGTAGCTTCCAAACTTCGTGCATATGATTTATTTACAAAAAGCGCTGTTGAAAATGATATTATGAATATATTTCAGATGGCTAATCAAGGCCGATATAATATCGCATATCCGCGTCTTCCTCATATACCCCATACAGTAGGTAACCCAGTTATTGTACCTGAAAACAATTCAAATAATCCTGGTTCCTCACACTTGTCATACAATTCACAAAATACTTCTATGTATAATTCACAAAATTTAACTCCCACATTACCATTACCAAGCACTTCTACGTCATCAGAGATGTCACACGGTTCATGGAATTTTCACGCCTATGACTCAGAAAATCTTTCTCCCTCACCTACTCCCGCGTGTTCTCCAAAGAATTCCACATATTCCGATGATTTCAATATTCAAGACACAGTCTAGATTTATACTAAGTGACATATAAATCCGAACACCCAGTTTAAATGGTTTTATTTTAATAAAATTTTGTATAAGTACTTAATGAAGCATAATAAGTAAATGATAAAAATTTCAAAATGATTGCACTGCTTTAAAGCCCTTTGACCTTTAATAATGTGTGGATGCACCCTGATGTGCTACGCATTCTCCAACGCGCCTAGGCATGCTTCTGATCAGGTGGTCAATGTCCTCCTGTGGTATCTCATTCCAGGCAACCACCAACTCCTCTCGAAGTGTTTCTAGAGTCTGAGGAGGACGTTGCAAATTGAGCAATCTCCTACCCATCATATCCCACACGTGCTCAATTGGGGATAAGTCGGGAGATCTTGGTGGCCATGGTAACAATATGACATCATTATGTTGAAAGAAGTCTATTGTGACTCTTGCAACATGTGGTCGGGCATTATCTTGTTGGAAAGTTGGATCTGCCAGGGTGTCAAGATAGGGTAAAAGATGGGGTTCTAGAACTTCGTGGATATAACGCTGCGCGTTCATGTTACCTCTGATGAAAATTAAAGGTGACCTGGAACCATAAGCTATAGCACCCCAAACCATAACTCGAACAGTGTGATGAACATGTCTTTCAACAAAAAACTGTGGATTCCTCCTTTCACCACGTCGCCTTCTAACCCTGGCACGACCATCGTGCATGCCTAAACAAAATCGAGACTCGTCACTAAAGACAATACTGTTCCATTCCTTATCCCAGAGTGACCGTTGTCTGCACCACTCAAGGCGGTTACGTCGGTGTTCTCGAGTTAAAGGGAGGACCCAGTGTGGCCGGTATGAAAACAAGCCAAAACTTCTCATTCGTCGATAAACACTTCGCATGCCAATAGGTCTTCCGTGTTCTGCAAACCATTAATTTGTAATGGACCTGGTAGTGGAGAAACGGTCCCTTAAGGCCAATAATCTTAGGCGGCGATCTTCACGGTCTGTTGTTCTACGGCGGCGTCCAGTGCCCCTTGCTCTTTGCGTACGGCCATCTCGAAGCCATGCCTGACAACACCTAACCACAGTGTCTACACTTCTTTGCACTCTAACTGCAATTGCCCGAAAAGAAAGTCCAGCTTTCCGAAGTCCCACTATACGGCCCCTATCAAACTCACTAAGTTGACGAAGTCGTACAGGTCTCCGTACTCGTAACCGATCGTAAAGGATGTCAGGAACCAAAATCCGCCAACGTTGATTCTCTACTGCCGCTGAAATATTCATTTTTAGAGCGTTAGTGAATTAAAAAAAAGCAGTATAAAAACTGGAATGTCCAACTGATAAGGCTGAAAATTTTTTCACTTGTTATTTACAGTAAGATAAATACATTCACCAACTTTTATTAAAATAAAACCATTTAAACTGGGTGTTCGGATTTATATGTCACTTAGTATATTTTATATGTAATGAAAATGTAGATAACACAACAAATGTAAATTACAGAACTACGGAAAATGTCTGTATACAGTATGTCAACGTGTTAATAAAAAGTTGAACGTAAAACCTATCACTATTTATTATTTGTATTTTTTTTATTTTAATTATTTTCCCCCGCAATCATGCATATTACCACACATAAATTTCACATGAATGTAAAAAATACAAAGTGAATAAATAAAAAAATAATGAAATCAAATAACAAAATAATATTTCTAAACTGAAAATTTTGAATAATACGATACAACTCACTTACCTGAATGAAGTTCTTGAGTGTGTCTATAAGGGATGATTCGGCTTATTGACTGCTTACATATTTTAAATAGATATTGGAGGCTAACATATGTGTCGCCGGTAGCCAAAAAACGGAGAGTTAGTGCCAACCTCTCCTGTGCTGGAATTGATTCAAGAAAGATCGTGTCTCTTCTGGAAATCAATGGACCAATTGAATTTAGTAAAAATTCAAAATCAGTGGGATGCATTCTAGTGAAATTTTTATATAGCACACTGATATGCTGGAATTTTAAATCCGCCAGCAAGCTTGATCCACTATAAATCTTCCTACACCAACGGGCGTTGCTTCTCAGAGCTCTCTTCCATGATGCCGCCGCGCGATGGGGCTGCCAGACAGACCCGCCTGACTGGCCTCCTATCCTAACCGTGTCGAACTTCGTACATAACTGGATGATACGACCGTTACTTTGTTCCGATGGTATCGAGATTGTGGTATAATCTACAAGAGGAATCTTTTCCCAGTTCTACTGACCTTAGGCAGTTCAAAACTCGTATTAACAAATTTTCTTTGGAATCATCATAGCAGCCGCGGTGTCCCGGAATTAAAGCTTCTGCCTGCGCGACTGCTTCGATATAAAAAAGAGGTTAGTCATAGCAGATATTCTGAATGTTGTCAGTTATTTTGTAGACAAAGCCAGACTCTTCTCTGTATATCCGTCAGTGCGTAGTTTATTATGATTTTGTGATAAATCTGATATACAAAACAAATGACTTTCTGACAATTTCAAGGCCTACTTAGGAAATTCTGTTTTTAATAACTATTTGGCAATGTCAATGTATGAAATACATTTTTGGAATCAAAATCAAAAACTCTTTTTATCTGTGTAAAAATTCAATATGGCGTCTATACGAAAAAATAAAGTTGATGCTAAAGAACAAGAGACGAGGCCTCGGGGACGCAGGTAAATCATAGCAGATGTTCAAAATGTCCGTTACTTTATAGGCAAAGCTTGACTCATCTCTGTCCTTTGTTCCCTGCTCGATTTATTTCACATCTCTTCAGTATTCCAAGCTCTGTTGCTATATTCAATTTGAGGTCTGGTCTGTTAAACGAAACAAATGAAATCTGATAAGCTCAAGGCCTACCTAGGAATGTCTGTTTTTCTAGAATAACAAAGGTTCGCCAATGTCAATGTATGACCTATTATACATTTATTAAATTAGAATTCAAAACTGTGTTCGTCTACGCAAAAATTCGATATAGAAAGATAAAGTTGATGCTGGAGGACAAGAGATGAAACTACGGATAAAAAAAATTAAATCTATTTTGGGAAAATTCGTTATTTTCCATCTCTATCCGGAAGTATTTTGAATTTCGAAACTTTCTAAGCGGCTTTTTGTAACTTACCCAAATACGCATCTTTATCCCACTTCAAGCGATTTTTTACCGCTTCGGGGATCCCCATGGTGACGGTCGAATTTGAAACCCAGTATATAAATCTGTCCATACACGTTAATTTAAATAAAAAGTAAGTAGCCCACTTAAACTCTGGCATAAAACTGTTACACAAATCTTATATAGAGCGGTCCATACACGTACCTAATGCTAGACGAACCATTCGTCCTTCTGGGCGTGTTGGAGCGGCGCGCCGTCTGCCAATGCCCCGCCTCCAGTATGATCGGGGGCGGTGTTGCCATTGGCCGGCGCGTCACGCCTCACTTTGCCCGGCTGCAGTAGAGGCGGGCCCGGACCAGCGTGCTGAGGAACCCTAACGGGCCCGCAGGGCGGCGCCAGTTTCCCGACAGTTGATTTTGGTTACCGGCAGTGGGCGAGCCGCCAGTGGTCCGCGGTAGCGTCGTCGTGCTGCCCCCGCCTCCGATACCGCCCATGGCCTGCTTCATGGCGCCGTTAGACCCGTACATCTGCTGTACTGGAACAAAAACGGTCATTTCTATTTTGCCTTGACCCTTGAAATCAGGTCAAAGTGAAGATCAAAGCCAAACTCATAGTTGAATTCAAGGTCAAATTGGGGACAATGTCAATCGTTAGTGCCAAATATAATCAATGATTACGTTGAATGTCAAGGCTCAGGCTACCATAAGATGACAGCATTTTTCTTTAATTTTGACAAAAAATCTTTCTAGTGCTTACCTTTTGAGATCTAGAATAGCAAATATATATATATATATATATATACAGGGTGACTTCGAAGTTGAGTCATTTATTTTAACAGTGAGTAGATCTGATCAAAAGAAATGTTTTTTCCTTTAACATTTTTCTGGTAAAATTAAAGTAACAAAGTTATAGCCCTTTAGAAGTTTGAGTACCGCCCTGTCTCAATAATAATATTATGTGCTCGTGTTTGGCAACAACGGATATAATCCGCCTTATCCGTTCATCGCATCGGAAACAAAAAAGCGAAAGAATTTGAAACGATGTTTTTACTACAATGTACAATCTTATTGAGTTGTATTCAGTCGATGTGTCAGTCGGTAACGCGTGAGTGAATAGTGGTGTTTGTTGCGTGGCTCAAACAAAATAAAAAATGGCACATGTTTAGGAAAATGCTGAATGTAGTACAAAGGGCTCGTGAATCAGGTGACTTAAGACCTCACAGGGGAGGGCATGCCGGTGCTCCAAGACCGCACGATCAAATACAGATCCGCACTGAAATACTTGTCGGGAGGATACTTTATAAAACAAGGTAACATTTTTTTTTATTTTTTTTTATTTTTACACACATATTTTGGTTTATCTTCCTTCTACAATCATTATCTGAAAATTAACGACTCAACTTTCAAAGTCACCCTGTATATAAACCAAAATATGTGTGTAAAAATAAAAAAAAAATTAAACAAAAATTTTTACCTTGTTTTATAAAGTATCCTCCCGACAAGTATTTCAGTGCGGACCTGTATTTGATCGTGAGGTCTTGGAGCACCGGCATGCCGTCACCTGTGAGGTCTTAAGTCACCTGATTCACGAGCCCGTTGTACTACATTAACAAAGGCACGAGGGGTTGGTTGCACTCGATTGGGAAACCGATCCGCATAAACATGTGCCATTTTTTATTTCGTTTGAGACACGCAACAGACACCACCATTTACTCACGCGTTACCGACTGACACTGACTGTATATAACTGAATAAAATAATTGTAAAAACATCGTTCCAAATTCTTTCGCTTTTTTGTTTCCGATGCGATGAACTGATAAGGCGGATTATATCCGTTGTTTTCAAACACGAGCACATAATATTATTATTGAGACAGGGCGGTACTCAAACTTCCAAAGGGCTATAACTTTGTTACTTTAATTTTACCCGAAAAATGGTAAAGGAGAAAAACATTTCTTTTGATCAGATCTACTCACTGTTTAAATAATTGATTCAAATTCGAAGTCACCCTGTATGTATATATATATATATATATAGGAGAAAAATTAAAGCTTCCGCCTTTTGTTGGGTACTTCATCAAAATTTAAGCAAGGAGGACTCTATACTTTTTTTATTCTCTCTAGCTTTCAATGGTCTTTGCCATCATCATCAGGAGCTGCAATTACATTGATAACAGTAGCAACAATAGTGTAAAATGAATATAAATTAACTTACAGTAGTAAGTCAGGATGTTGCTAATTGTTGTTTACGTTAAGGATTAGGGAAACACCCAGTAACATGGTGAAAGCTAGATAAATGGTACAATGGTCAAAATTATACAAACTACACACAGCTGTATGACAAGAACAGGTTAAAACCAGATTAAAAAATATTTAAAACGAAAGTTAAGCATTACATCGTGAAGCCACTTGATGATTGCACAAAATGGTGGGCATGGAATCATGAATGAACCTTTTGACAGATGGCCGAAGGTTGGCAGTGTCCGTGTAGAATGATGGAACGAAAATTCTTTTGTAAGACGTCTGATACTTTGCCAAATCACGTAGCACACGCCTTACAAACGAATTTTCGTTCCATCATTCAACACGGACACTGCCAACCTTCGGCCGTCTGTCAAAAGGTTCATCTTACTCATGATTCCATGCCCACCATTTTGTGCAATCATCAAGTGGCTTCACGATGTAATGCTTAACTTTCGTTTTAAATATTTTTTAATCTGTTTTTAACTTGTTCTTGTCATACAGCTGTGTGTAGTTTGTATAATTTTGACCATTGTACCATTTATCGAGCTTTCACCATGTTACTGGGTGTTTCCCTAATCCTTAACGTAAACAACAATTAGCAACATCCTGACATACTACTGTAAGTTAATTTATATTCATTTTACACTATTGTTGCTACTGTTATCAATGTAATTGCAACTCCTGATGATGATGGCAAAGACCATTGAAAGCTAGAGAGAATAAAAAAAGTATAAATAGTCCTCCTTGCTTAAATTTTGTCGAAGTACCCAACAAAAGGCGGAAGCTTTAATTTTTCACCTAACTGGTCTAGACGACAATGACCACGTCTCAAGAAACAATATATATATATATATATATATATATATATATATACAGGGTTATCCAAATTAAGTGTCCACCATTAGTAACTTTGTTATTAGTGAAAATACAAAGTTGTTTGAATTAGCAAACTAGTAGCATTTTTAACGCTGGTAAAAATAAGAAATAACAAAAAAAAACAATTGAGAGTCGTTATTTTGATTTTTTTCAGTAAAATAACATTTTTTTAAATGGAAACCCCTGTATATTATATTTTTTTCTGTTAAAGCATCAAATTTTAAACAAAAAAGCTTATAATAACTTTTCTCCTAGGTTACAAATTGTTGAAGTTATGGCCTCCAATCTGAAACAAAATTAAATTGTATCGACAAACTTTATTTTCAACATCAACTTATAATCTTACAAAACACAATAACAATTTTTTTTAAAGAAGATGCTCGAAAACACCACCTTGTTCTTCAATATATTTTTGGGCACGTTTTTCAACTGCTCGAACTGTCTTAAGTATGGTCCTACCATCTATCTGGGTTATCTTTTCCCTAACTGCAGTCTTTAACGCGTCAAGGTTATCGTACCTTCGCTTGTAAATTTGGTTCTTTAAGTAACCCCACAAGAAGTAATCAAGTGGGTTTAGATCTGGTGATCTGGGAGGCCACTGTATTGGGCCATTTGTTCCTATCCACTGATCATTAAAAGTAGTACTTAGAAAATGATAAGTACCTCTGGAGTTGTGGGCAGGTGCGCCATCTTGCTGAAAATGCAGATGATGTCTACTTATAAGATCCAATTCGTCTAAGAAATTAGTCAGAATTTCTGACATAAATTCCACATATCTTTCACCAGTTAGGGTTCCCTCATAAAAGAACGGGCCAACAATTTTTGAACCAATTATACCGCACCAAACGTTGAAACTGAAACGGACTTGTGGGCCTCTTGGATGTACTAACAAAAGATTTTCTCTTGACCAATAATGGTGGTTTTTTCTATTAAACATTCCAGAATTTGAAAAATTTGATTCATCTGTCCATAAAAGGTAACGAAAGTTATTTACATTTTGGCAACAGAAGCTAAGATACCAATGGCAAAAAACAAGTCTTCTCTCTGGATCCCCTGCCAAAAGCGTTTGAACTGGTCGATACATAAGTATCGTATAAACGGAATAAATTTGTATTTTTTTAAAATCCTTTGAACAGTACCATAACTGAAATTAGAGTCCTTGAGAATATCTGCTATTGAATTCTCACGATAAGCTTCAAAATATCCAATAACTGCAATTTCCGTGGCCTCGCTTATTATGAATTCTTTTTTTGCCCTTGTTTTAGCAAAAACATTTTCGTTGCCCCTAAATTTTCGATAAAGTCTCAGAAAATATCGTTCATACGGTTGAATGCGAGCGGGATATAATTCACTGCTCTCAAGGAGGATTTTCTGCACACTAAATAGCATTCTAACATATCAACACTTTTCTTCATGGGAGAACATTTTTCTTTAAATTAATGACACAATAAAGCTTATAAACAAGTATTTACACTAATGTTTGACATTATTTGATTTTATCATTGTTTTCCAAAGCCTTCTAGTTGCGAGTATGTCCAGTTTAACAATTTGTCGCTTATCTTAATGCTGTCAAATCGCGAACGCCATGTTGTTTTCATAGCCGTCTTAATATTATAATACTGCAAATAATTAAAAATATTTATCGTTATTTTGACTTTAGCGGAAAAGTCATTATGAACTTTTTTGTTTAAAATTTGATGCTTTAACAGAAAAAAATATAATATACAGGGGTTTCCATTTAAAAAAATGTTATTTTACTGAAAAAGATCAAAATAACGACTCTCAATTGTTTTTTTTTATTTCTCATTTTTACCAGCGTTAAAAATGCTACTAGTTTGCTAATTCAAACAACTTTGTATTTTCACTAATAACAAAGTTACTAATGGTGGACACTTAATTTGGATAACCCTGTATATATATATGTATTCAGGGTGGCCCATCCATGTGTGGACGGAATATTACTCATAAACAGATACATTTTGGGAAAATTTATTTATGGGATGTTATGCATGACATTTGAGGGCACATTTCTAAAATATTGGCCATTATACAGAGTATCCCAATTTCGACCTGTATGTCAAAGTTGTGATTTTTTAAATGGAATGCCTCAAATTTTATTGCATATTTGGATAAACCAATTCAAAAGAAGAAAATTGATATAACATAGTATGTGGTTTTGATAGTGAGCTACTGAGATATAAGATGTTTTGTCTAGAAAAACCACCTACTTCGACAACCCGTCAGTCCGCCATTTTGAAATTTGGAGTGCTGAATTTGATATCAAGAAAAAACTTACACACCTCAGCTTTTATCTTATTTGCTACTTTTTCGAATTTTAAATTTTTGCTCATACAGGGTGGTCAAACACGCAAATTGTAGATATTCTCAAAAATTTCAAATGCATCACCCAATTTTTTATAACCTTTTTTTTTGATACTAGACACATAAGGGTTTTTACGGCTATGTTTTCGGTTATTAGCACGTCTTTTATGGAACGGCTTAATTCCCTAAAATATCGGATCATCCTTGGAAACAAATAATTGTTGATTAGTTACAAACTGTCAAAGCTAGCTTTGCGAGCATTGTAATAAGAACGTGTTTGAAAATGAATTTTTCTAAAGAAGAAATGGTGAATATGGTGTTCGTTTTGGGTGAAGCCCAAAGAAATAGTTTCCTATCTTTTCGCATTTATAAGCAACGGTAACCTAATATGCAACATCCAAGACCGGAAGCATTTTCCACACCACGAGAACGTTTTGAATCAAGTGGAGCAGTGGAATATAATAAAAAATGTATAAATAATCCAAGTCTCACCAATGAGGCGAATCAGTTGGAGAGTATATTAAAGTTGCAGGAAAATCCCCATTTAAGTGCATGGCAAATTGGAACAGAAACTGATATATACGGAACTTCTATCCAAAGGCTTATTCACAAGCATAGGTACCATCCATATCACCTGTGCTTGCATCAAGGCGTTCGTCCTAAGGATGTCGCAGCTGGAATGGAGTTTAGTAGAATAATGCTAAATAAAGTGAGTGAAGACACTACCGGAAAATATGAACGAAATGATTAAGAATGCTTTTCTGAACGTAAGGGAACACATGCTGAGGGATGTGTAACGGTCACTTATCCAAAGCCTACGGCTGTGTATTCAACAAGGTGGAGATATTTTCGAACAGGTTTTGTAGTGATAGTTGTTTGTTTATGTTGTTATAGTTTTTTCTCTATTACGCTTGAAGCTGATTTATACTGTTCTCATTATTATTAGTTTTTTACGTCAAATCTGTACTCTTAGTAGCAATATGGAACAAGCCCACTGTTTGTCTTTTGGTTCCATGGATGATGTGATTTTTTTCCTTAATTTTGGTGTGGTGTTCTTTTAAATGCTTGATAACTCAAAATCTAGTGGTGTTATCAGAATCAAACCTCATACTAATAAAAGCTTATGAAAAATTGAATCCAAACTTGCACAAATATACAGGGTAATGCATTTTAAATTTTTGAGTAAAAGTACAATTCGCATTTTTGACCACCCTGTATGGGCAAAAATGAAAATTCGAAAAAGTAATAAATAAGATAAGAGCTGGGGTGTTTAAGTTTTTTCAATACAAAATTTAGCACTCCAAATTCCAAAATGGCGGATTGATGGGTTGCCGAAGTGGACGGTTTTTCTGGACAAAACGCCATACATCTCAGTAGCTAATTATTATTAATAACCTGATTAATAACCAAAACCCCATTGTATGTTATATCAGTCTTCTTCTTTTGAATTGGTTTATCCAAATTTGCAATCAAATTTGGGGCGTTCTATTAAAAAAATCACAACTCTGATATGTAGGTCAAAATTGGGACACCCTGTATAATTGCCAATATTTCAGAAATGTGCCCTCAAATTTCATGTATAACATGACAAAAATAGATTTTCCCAAAATGTATTTGTTTATGAGTAATACTCCGTCCACACATGGATGGGCCACCCTGTATATATACATTTGTTTTTGCTTTCATTTTGAGGGACCTCTTGTACAATAGTCCAGCCTTTCTCATCATTTTACACCCACATGATTTTTCAACACTTTACGTATACTCAGTGACTTTAGAAGTGTTACACCCAGAAATTTTGCAACTTAGTTTTTTGGCGATGAGGTAGTCTTATATCAAGAACGAAGCGATAAAATTCTCACGAAATTATATTGACAAGTAATAAGAAAAAAATTAATAACGTGTTGGGCGGGCTTGTAGCTGAATTTTTTTTGTAGCTGAGTACAGTCCTGTATACTCTAGGTATCGACTAAATGAAATGATCGATGTCTGGTTGTAGCACCTAATTCCAAGCAACTCCACCATCGTGGATTAGCTGTGGCAGAGTCTGTGACGGATTGTGTAAAATGGATATTATCCTCCCCATCATATCCCATACATGTTCGACGGGATTTAAATCCGGTGAGCGGGCTGGCCACGGCAAAACGTCAACGCGTGCTCCTTGAAGAAGAAGTCCGTAGCATGATAGCCCCTCCAGACTCACGGCGAGAAGTCTCGCGCGAGAAGCGAGAAGGTGTCTACACTCAGCGAGTGTGATACTCTTCTCTTCTCTCACCCGAGACACCCTTTGACTCGGTCGAAAATACCGCTACCGATCGGAGAGCAGGCGAGCCGAAGAGTGAGACCGGCGAGTAACAGATCACATTCACGCTGCTCGGGTGTTCTCGGGAGTTCTCGCCGTGAGTCTGGAGGGGATATGACGGGCAAAATAGGGACGTGCGTTTTCTTGCTAAAGAAGGACGTGCGAAGAGCCGTCAAGATACGGCAGCAAAGTGATTTGTGAAACATCATCAACATAACGCATATTGCTCTGAACAGAGAAGGGGCGATCGGATACCATATGCAATAGACCCTCAAACCATTACTCCAACAGTCCTGTGTACATGCCTCTCAACAGCAAATCCAATATCAGGCCGTTCTCCATGGCGGCGTCTTACCCTTCTACGATCATCGTGCGTACCTAGAGAGAATCGCGATTCGTCGCTGAAGTTGACATTATGCCATTCTGCCTCCCAATGTTGCCGTTCTCTGCTCCAGTTCAAAAGTTGCCGACAGTAGACCGCAGTCACGGGAAGCACTAACCGTGGATGGTATGAAAAAAGTCTAAAGGCTCGAATGCAGCGATAGAGTGTTCGCATAGTAACAGGTCTCCAAACAGTGATCTGACGCATAGTAGCAAAACGGTTACTTGTCTGACGCGCCTATCTTGACGCACTGTGGAACGCCTTGGTGGCACAGTTGGCCTTCTTCGTGTTCCTCTACCTTCTTCTATCCACACACGACACACACGCATTACCGTCATTGCAGCACAATTAACACGGCGGCCAATTTCACGATAGGACAAACCAACATGTCGATAGGCTACAATTCTACCCCTGTCTAAGTTGCGAACATGGTGATAATTTGGACGTCTTCTAGCCCGAGGCATTTTATTATACTTAACACTAGTAAATGAAAAGACAATGAGTAAAAATATCTATACTAATCAGCTCTCAGAAACAGCATGCTTTAAATATAGTCATTATGTTGCCAAAAAACAACAAATTTTTTTTTCTGGGTGTAACACTACTTATGTCACTGAGTATATATTTTCTATAAATATTATTTGGAGGCATTTGTCATCGCTGTATTTGTGCTCTAGTTATTACCAAAAGACTAATGTCCCTTTTGGAAAAAAAGATTTTACATGAAAAAACTTACGTGAGTAAGAAGCGTTCTGCTGTTGGATACCTCTACCGTTGTGCCAACCCCTCCGACATATACAAATTGACACAGCCACTATCATTACTAAGAGTACTAATAAGGTACTGATTAACAAAACGACAAACCACGTCACTTCCATACCCATGATGGTCCCGGTGTCGTTGTCTGCAACAAAAAAAATAAAAAAATATTAGGAAAATGTTGACGTAAATTTAACTGTATGTATTGCTATATATATTTCTGACTAATAGATGTCGGTATGTATGTATGTATCATAATTAGCATATCTATCGTAATTAAACAGATTAAGTCAAATACAACGACTGTTACTGTTCGTGTGCCACAGGGGCCAATTTTGGGACCGATTTTATTCAGTCCATACATTAACGAGTAGGTAGTTGCTTTGATGGTGCCAAATTAAAATTATGCAGGGTGACTTTGAAGTTGAGTCATTAATTTTCAGATAATGATTGTAGAAGGAAGATAAACCAAAATATGCGTGTAAAAATAAAAAAAAAATAAAAAAAAAATTTACCTTGTTTTATAAAGTATCCTCCCGACAAGTATTTCAGTGCGGACCTGTATTTGATCATGAGGTCTTGGAGCACCGGCATGCCCTTCCCTGTGAGGTCTTAAGTCACCTGATTCACGAGCCCGTTGTACTACATTAACAAAGGCACGAGGGGTTGGTTGCACTCGATTGGGAAACCGATCCGCATAAACATGTGCCATTTTTTATTTCGTTTGAGCCACACAGCAAACACCACTATTCACTCACGCGTTACCGACTGACACATTGACTGAAATTCTTTCGCTTTTTTGTTTCCGATAAGGCGGATTATATCCGTTGTTGCCAAACACGAGCACATAATATTATTATTGAGACAGGGCGGTACTCAAACTTCTAAAGGGCTATAACTTTGTTACTTTAATTTTACCAGAAAAATGTTAAAGGAAAAAACATTTCTTTTGATCAGACCTACTCACTGTTAAAATAAATGACTCAACTTCGAAGTTACCCTGTATACTGACGTCACATCCGCGTTACTATTATATGATGAGCTTCTAACCAGTAGATGTAACACCCTGTTAGACGTTTTGGACAATTGATTTGCTGAACATCAACTGTTTCTAAATTAAAATGAAACAAAAATATTACGGTTCCACAATCCGCAGAAGAAACTAATACCATTGAATTTCAAAGTCAAGGATGCACCAGTGCCAATATAGGGATTTTTGGGGATTTATCTAGTCGTAGCTTGCAATTTTAAAGCATACTGTGATATGTTGCTTCGAAGCTAAATTCTGCATTTGCAATAATAGATTTAGAGGCTGTACTAACACAATGTCAACTGGTAGTGATATAAGTTATGGAATCCTGTTGGTAACATAACTATGTGGTACAAGCCCGTTATTCCAACAAATTGAATTGTATGGCAAGCAAGCCCATTAAGAAATATTTGCTATTTACTTCTTTTTTTCGATACATCTCTGTTATTTTTCCTATAAAGATTAGAATTATATCGAGGCACAGACAGATTTTGTTCAATACTTGTAACCACTCTTCGTTCCTGCAATAAAGTCTGTTATTTTTTTACCATACGACGTGTGCATTCTTTATCTGGCGCTGCGAACAGGATAGTTATACGCCTTCGTGGAAAACATCTGGAAGTTTGTACGAGCCCAGCCAACCATCAGTAAAATCTCCGAGATTCATCAGGTGAGCTGAACTACGTCCCTTCTGTGTGACCAACCATTGTGAGGGAGGAAGTATCCACTTCCGTGAGAGAAACGATCTGAGAACCTGAGAGCCACGTCCGAGGTCCCTGCAGAACGTGCCTAGAGAAACAGAGAGCTACAAGAACCAGAGCAGTCTCCGTTATGAAAAATTTGATTTTTCACATAACGCTAGAGTAAGCCAAATCCATTTTATCTATTTAGTCAAAGTAACTTTTGGTAAATCTCCAGTACGAGAACGGTCACCCATTAGAAGACAACCAGTAAAAAACCAAGCTAACGTTAGAGAGGAATTCAGAACAACCATGGCTGACAATCCACAAATGTTATTTAACCTATTGAAAGATAGTGTGCCTATTTTTTCTGAAACATCAAATAATTTATCTGTATATTTACGTAAATCTAGAGAATTTGTTGCCGCTTTGCATGGCCCATATCAAATTCATGCTTTATCGTACGTAAAATCCAAACTACAGGGAGAACCTTCTGTTATCGTTGAACGAAATAATCCTCAAACTTGGCAAGAATTTGAAGAAATTCTCAAAGAACGTTACAAAGATTCAAAATCCGAATTAATGCTACTTGATGAACTTAGAAATTTATCCCAGTACACAGACTATATGAATTTTCATACTGAAATTTTGCAAAAATTACATATTCTTAGAGAATATGCTCTTTTGGAATTTTCTGATGTAGTTGCTCAATCTAGAGTCGACCTTTACACAGAAGCTGCATTAAATTCATTTGTAACTGGTATTAAAGAACCATATAAATCACTCCTATTTAACGCAACACCAAAACTATTCAAGCTGCCTTACAAATTTGTCGAAAATACGATAATTTACAAATACAATCGCAATGCAAAGTATTTACTAAACAAAATGCCAAAAATACTAACGCCATTCAAAAACCGAAACCTACAAATACCATTCAAAATACACCTATGTGGCGATTCCCTTCAAACCAACAATTTTACAATCCGCAATTTTACCAACAGCCACAACGATCTAACTTCCCAACTGGCCCGATTAACATCAGACCAAATTATTTTAATAATCAATTTCAAAGACAAGTTCAACCACGATAGCCTAATTTCTATCCACAAAATAGACAAGGCCCACCAAAAAACTTTAAACCGACACCCATGTCTACATCAACTATTACAAACCGCCGCTCGCAACAACAGAATCAATACCGTCCTAACTTTTTCTCAAATCACGGACAAAGACCAAATTTTATCGCTGAAGAACTAACCAACACCGAAGCGACCGAACAATCACAAAACGAACAAGAATACGATGAACAGCAATACTATGATCCAAATTATGAAAATTATGACCAACAAGAATATGAAAATTCAGATAGTAACCCTACTGTCGAGTTTCCCCTTGAAGAGACAACTCAAAATTTTCCGAAAGCCCAAAATCAAAACCCATTGACTTAGATCTCAATAATTATGAGAACACACATTTGCCATATATTTATTTACAAAATTTAGATTTGCTAGTTCTTATAGACACTGGTGCATCTGTCTCTTTGATCAACACTCAAACTGCTTTCAATTATTTTCCAGATTACATTTATCCAAAACACTTTTCAATAAAATCTGTCATTGGTACTAAACACGGTGAATACGCTTTGCGAATTCCTTTGTTCAATGAACATGGCATTAACACTGAAATTGAATTTCTCATTTTAGACTGGCACGAACGTTTTGACTGTTTGCTAGGATATTATGATCTACAAAAATTTCAAGCTACTTTACAAACATCTAAGAATTTGCTATCCATTGATCGTTTAAACTTTATTTGCCACACTGACAAAATACCACGTAAAGTCCCGAACACTGTAATCAAAAATCAAGTTCTAAAATCCTCTATCAAAAATGGACAAATTATCGTTCCACCTGTTAAATATCTAAATTCTAACGATTACACACCCGAAATGATTTGTACCGTTAATAATTATGAAGTACTATACCCAGAAAATCCAAATCTATTAGATTTAAACTATCAATGCATCAAATACGACAATTTGGATAATTACGACATTGAAACACCCCAGAATGAATATAATTTAACTGATATTGGAACTTTAATAAGAACTGATCACATGAATGACGAGGAAAAATACAAGATAACAGAACTTTTTAGAAAATTTCCTGAAGCTTTTCTAAAACCTAACGAAAAATTAGAGCCATGTACCGTAACATCTCATTCTATCAGAACAAAACACGACGACCCAATATTTGTAAAATCTTTTCGCTATCCAGTCTATTTAAAAACCGAAATTCAGAAACAAGTCGCTAAACTTTTGCAAGATGACATCATCCGTCCCAGTACAAGTCCGTACTCATCACCTGTATGGATCATAAATAAGATTTTGTTCAATACTTGTAACCACTCTTCGTTCCTGCAATAAAGTCTGTTATTTTTTTACCATACGACGTGTGCATTCTTTATCATATATCATGCTCAAGTAAAATCCAGGCTTCGGTATGGCTCATACTTTTGGGATAGCTCACCATACGCTAAGTGTGTGTTCATCTTCCAAAACAAGTATTGCATTGTTTGGCAGGAGTGAGTCGTACTTACAGCTGTAATGAACTTTTTTAAAAGTATGAACCACTAACTTTGCCTCCATTATCACACCCCAATCAGCATAAATTCATTGTGAATAATGAGTTGCATATTTTTGCTACAAGGCAAAAAGAACAGTTGCATGTTTCTTCTGCTGAATATAGAATAGCAGTATGTCTACAAACATATTGGATCCCAAGATTTTTAATAGGCTCCCAACCTAAATTAAAAATATCCAAACAGTTAACTATCTTAACCCATTCGCGGCCAAACTTTATTATTTTTTTTGTTAAGAAATTTTAGCTTTAGCCTAGGCAGCTTGTATGTGGAAAAATAGTAAAAAAAATCTTTTTGAACATTTACAATCGCCACAGGCGAAAAAAAAAATGTTCCAAATTTGGAACTTGGCGTCATAAGGGTCTTGTTGGCTAATTATTAAAAAATAAACTAAAGTATCCATATAACATTTATTTTTATTTTATACACTACGAAGATGCACTTTGATGAAATATTTTAAAACAATCGAGTGGATGTACATTAATCATACATATACCACAACCAAATGTAGTATTTTTTTGCAAACTTTCCATCTATTTTGTTTCATGGAGTTTGGGTAGTGCAAAACAGACATATTGTTGGAGACTGCCTCAGGAACCTTTAGAAATATAGCTCCGTCTTGTCTTTGTGCTCTGGGACTCAGAAGTAAATATGTTGATACAATGTATCTGATAAAGTCAAGTAAATCAAGAGAACGAGAACTGTCCATGAATTCATCAGCACTAGATTTCTTTTTTTTCTCATCTTTTGAGATTCTGTATAAGATCCAAGCATTAGAGACCGAAGCGCATAAAAGATGTATAAAAACTTGCCACCACCATTTATTATTACGCAGTTGCGGGCGATAATTAGAAATATTTCTATCCATTAAATCTGTACCACCCATATTAGTATTGTACTGCTGAATAGCATGAGGCATCTCTACCATAATATATTTTTTGTCAGCAGCAGAATAACGGCGTGCTGCTTTTGTGGGCTGCAAGCCAAAGCAGTTTGAAGCAACATGGACTATGGAGTTATCTTTCCATTGCATAACAATAACTTCTTTAGTTGAATTAACGTATGAGTCCATAGAACCCCTATGCGATTTCTTCATTGCAGATTTATTTAGAGGACATTTTTCTAGTCTGTTTTGCCGGATCGTACCTGTGCATCCAAAATCCATTTCACTTAATTTTTTTATCAGTGGAAGACCCGTGAAAAAGTTATCTATAACGAAGTTAAATTTTTGATCTGGAAATCGCTGTTTCAATTTTTCTGCAAAGGTGTAAACAACAGATGCTCCTAGGCCAAGGTCACTATCTCCTAATATTGTTCCTTGCCTTGATATGGTTCAGTGTTCACAAGATAAGCGTTTGATACATTTGCAGACCAAAATTTGAACCCATATCTAATAGGCTTTCCTTGAATTCTTTGCTTGCAACTGTGGTGACTATAGTATGGTACCATTGATTCGTCAACAGATATTGATGTGGTTTGAGTAAGAGGGGTATGCTGTAGAAAAACAGTGTTTAGGTGGTTGATCAGTGGCCTTACTTTCCCAAATTTGTCATTGGCTGGCAGCTGAGTGTTATTTCCAAGTGCAAATTTCTCAAAATATCTCGGAATTTATTTCTTGACATCCCCTTAGCAACCGCTTCATTGAGAAGATCAGAGTCCATACTCCAATACATATCTTTCCTGGGCCTTTTAGAGTAACCAGAAATTAGCAAAATTGAGAAAAAAACCTTTAGTTCTTCCACGGTCACAGTAAAAGATGTGTTTGCATTTTTCTGGGTAGCATACAATATAGTTTGTTCTTTTATGTTTTCAAAAAAAGCATCAGTCCAAAATAATTCGAAAAATTGAATAGGATTTTCTTTTGAAACCAGGTTATTATATGTGTCAGATTCTGTTACATTATTCGATTCACAGAGTTTGGTAAGTCTTGCTGATACCAGTTTTCCAGTTTTGACTTTGACTTGAATTTTTTGCTTTTGGGTACGTATTTTACTAAAGGCTCATCGTCATCACTGCTGGATTCTTGATGCTGCTTACTGCCATGTGATACAAGAGTAGCTTCAGCTGGTGCACCTAATATTTTTTGAGAAAATTTCTCACAAAAATCCCCTTCATTTTCATTTCCTGAGGCTTCAGAGTCGCCCTCAGAATCCTCCATTGGTGGACTTATAGTATATATATGTTAGCTGATTCAAAGTGCTCTTCATGCAGTTTGTCAATGAGTCGGTTTAAACTGGTTGAACAGGTGGATTTTTTTCCGTAAAAGGTTTTGCAATCCATAACCTAAAATAAATACAAAAGTGCAATAGAAGTAGCCATGTTCCATTATTGGAACATAACAAAATGTGACGATAGAAGGTACAAATGAGAAAAGATACTTATTTTACTCAAACTTACCAATAAAACAATAGCCAGACCTTGCTTCTGTTTATAGAGAACTTCAATTTTTCAGCAGTTTGTATTGTTTACGCGCCAGTAATAACACAAAAAAATGTGTTAAAAATAAAATAACCTAGCTGCACTGGTATGTTTACTGCCGTAATATAACCTAAAAAGTTTACTGAAAACAGGTGCTCCCGATGCTGTGAATTGCTAACAATGGTTCTGATTAATACTTGTGCCTCCATCTATTCAACTACATCCCAAAATATCGCGTGTTCCAATTTTGGAACAATGCTGCGAATGGGTTAAAAAAGATTTAAAGATGCGTCTTCAAGAAAATTGCTACTACTCTGTCTCCGACTTTGTTACTACGAATGTTGATTTATTCTGTGATACGAAATCCTATTGATGTATTTTCATGTCTTTCTGATAATAAATGTTATTATTATTATTATTATAATTATTATTACAAATTAGTGATTATTTTGCTAACCAACCATATTTTCGTGTTAAACATTTTTTGCCTCTAAAGCTTTTGGATATACTCTAATTTACATCCTATACTAAAACATTAAAAACCTAATTCTGCCTTGGTACTTACTTTGGCATAGGGTTGTAGAAGATTCGTCCGATCCATCAGCGCAATGGTTGATGTCATCACAGACTAATTCTGTCGCTATGCAGAATTCTCTAAGAGTACATCTAAATTCTGTACATGCGTGTTCTGAAAATAAACCAAAAGACTGTATTTAGAGATATAGTGTATGGCCTCTTACATCTAAGCGCCTAAGCGAGGCATCATAATGCATTTGTATTTTTGGCAAATAGGTGTCACATTTTGTCATTTGCATTTTCGAGAAATGTCTGATGCGGTATTTTCAACGGCCGGTTTATGCACGTATTTCCACAACGTTTAAATGCAAACTCATACTTAGCTCTTCTAGAAAATGTGTTCCGTTAGCAACGAGAGTACGAATGTGGTATCAGCACGACGCGACGTCGTGACATAACCGCATGCTTAAATAATCATTTTAATATATGCTGAACAAATTAATACTGTTGATCAGTAACAATAAAAGAATAATAGATAATGAGTTTCATCAAATTCAAGCCAGAACAAATTTTGCGGAAATACGTTTTTCTTTATTAAAAAGATGCCGCACTTGTGCCCGTCAGAATGGTGGTCTTTGTGAACATTTATTGAAATAAAGCTTTGACTATCTGTTTTTTTTATTTTCACGAAAACAATGCACACTAGGAAAAAACACAATAGTAATTATTTGTAGCAAATTAAAGGTAAAATTCGAAAGATTGCGTGTTTAAAATAAAAACAGTGGTGTACTATTTTTATTTGGAAAAATAATGTCACTAATCCCCTGTATGTCCGCGACTGGTGCACATTAATTTTAAGTAAAGACTTTCGAATGTGGATAATACTTGGCCTGTCTGTATGTCGGTCTGTCCGCAAATTTTATAGCCGCCTACAACTTGAGAAGTACCGTTCGCATTTTGATGAAATTTTTACACAAGGTTACTACTACTATGCCAAGGATGAAAAAGCTTTATACTTTTCGAAAATCGTTCTAGTGATGGGCAAACACACAAAAAAATAAAATCGACTAAACTTCGTATTTAACATTTCATGCATTTCCATTTGGATGGCTGGGAGTTGTGAATGTAACGTTTTCAGTATTAGCCAAAGAAGCTTCTGATGCCGGTAAGAACGGGAAAATTAATTCATAAAAGTTCCATGTATAATGTACTCATAATTCGAAGCAACTTGGCAATCGTTGGCGTTGCGTGCACGGCGCGATGCTGCATCATCGTGGAGGCCAATGCCGTCTGTGCAATGGGTAACAAACTCCAACTGGTCTGCGGTGGTGTTGTCACTGACACACCGCTGCAGGAGAAATATTTATATATTCTGGCAATGTTTGGATATTAGGAGTACGTAACCACTTTAGCGTTCTGCTATGTTTTTGTAAATGATGATTTTTTTATATCTTCACATACATTTTTCTGAATTTTATGATCTTCTAAAATTTACCACCCATCTCGCCTAACCTTTAATTATGTTACTGCGTTTATGACGGTTTTCTGAATATTTCTTCAAGTATATTCACCCACTTGTGACGCATTGATATACAACAGACATGAACTGACAAACCGAAATAAATGAGAATCACGGGCTAGTGTGATGCAGATATATTTAAGCAACAGAAAACATGTGAACCAAAGTTCGAATATTATCGCGAGATGAGTACTTCTATCGTTTAGGTAGTCGTACATTTCAAAAAATAATTTAGAGGCGGTGGAAATAAAATCGCTGAAATTCCTGCTTATTTTCATTGGTTGGAGGGGATGAAAAGTGTAGGTTGGAAGCTGTATGTGGTTAATGGTTGTAAATTTTACATATTTGGAATCAGTGAAAGACCTGAGATGACTAAGAAGCTGCTGGTCTCAGTAATACTATGTACCTGTTAGTCATAATGAGTCACACATATGTTCCCTTCATCTGTCATGGAAACAGAAATATGATAATTTGCTTTATATAGTTTGATATGTAGAGGTCGACGATTCATCGTACCACAGTGAACCTACCAAAAGCGTTCATTACCGAAACTGTTGACAGCAAAGTTTTGTTGTCATGTGCTCATCTAGGAATTAATTAAATTCAGCTAAAGGAGTCATTTGCATAATGACCGTTTGAGTAATATTTTATTACATTTATGAAAATGTATATTATGCATTTTCAAACCTGCATTCAACGTTGAGAACACAAATTAAATCTTTAAGTGAAATTTGTCTACAGTATATTCAGATAAGAGATAGACCGGACATAAACAAGACCACGTGATCATCGAACGCTGTAACATTCGGCAGGGACGTATTAAGAGTCACGCAGTACATATTTTAGATAGTAAATGCTGCTTTGCGTAACTTTGTAGTAAATTAGCACAATTCGATGTGTATACGATTGGTGATGGATATATGATCATATGGGGGTGGGGTAAGAAATATATAATGATGTAAATATACATAAGGGTTTCAAAATTTTCGCTTCGATTTCCAGCTTCGGATGCCGCCTGATGTTTGGTGAAATACAGTCGAATATAATCTCAAAATGGCGTTTAAGTTAGCCTAAATTAAAAATAATCGTATATCTCTTAAAATTGCTTTTAGAATATTGATTAGTATATTTTTTGATTTCTAGGTAAATATGTAACCAAATTGAAACGTTCAAAACGTAAAAAAATGTGCATGGTTGAACATTGTCAGAAAGTAGATTCTTGAATAGGTTTTGCCAAAATGGGTTAAAAAATGTCAATAATTAATTAAAAAATACAGTAGCTTTATAATTACTTATAACTTACCGAATTTGATGAACGACATCTTTTATTTTAAAGATGAGCTTGATGAGCTTTCATCATCCCTACTGCCTGAAGCACCAACGTGAATAATGAATGGCTCGACTTGTTCCTCTAAAATATTGTCCAGTTCCCACATTCTCTTTTCAACTTTGTCTTTCACGTGCTTAATACAGTTTTCCCATTTTTGCGCTGTTATTAATTCTAGTGCTTCTTTGAAAAGTCCTTTGAGGTCACAAAATTTAAAAGTTGTATTGTGCTTAGCTATATAATTTTTAACCTCTGCCCATATGAGCTCAATGGGATTGAGCTCGCAATGGTATGGAGGTAAACGGAGCACAGTTTTATTTTGACTTGCTGCCATTTCGTCAATGGCGTATTTTTGATATTCCGCCTTGTGATCCTTGACAATTCTTAATAATTGTACTTTCAGCATTGCTTCTTCAAAGTTGATATTTTTCGAGCGGAGCCAATTTTGAACATCAACTTTCTTTGAAGCCGTTGTTGGGACCTTCTCCATTCTTCGAGAATGATAAGGCGCATTATCCAACACAATTACTGCGTTTTCCTCTAAGTTCGGTAAAATTTTTGAAAACCACTGTTCAAACGATTCGCCATTGATTTCCTCGTGGTAATCTCCAGTTTCCTTAGACTCAAAGCACCACAGACCGTCAACAACAAATCCATCCTCACTGCCAATATGGCAGATAATGAGCCTTTTCCCTTTACCTGGAAATCGAAGTACTAACTGGTGTAGATTTATTTCAATAAGCGAACCTTTTTCAAATGTTTTCATCACATTCAGCGAAAAAACATTGAGACATGAGTATCAGATTGCTATAATTGGGATTATTTAGTCATATTGAAAGAAAGAATATTGAACGTCGTATGATTACTCAGCGCTTCACAATTTAATTTAAAGTTATGAACCTTTAAAAAATGAATGATCAGGAACCTGAAATACGCGCAAATATTAATATTAACAAATTATAAATTTATAAAGCTTAAAGTATGAATTAAAATGATTAGAAATATTAGGAACGGTACACAATATTAGTAGTAGTAACTTTTTTTAAGTTTATAATATTCGACATATTTTAAGATTATATTAAAAAGTTATTGAAATATCGAAAACACATAAAAACATGGCTTAAAAAAGTTCTAACAAATGAAAATGACAATAAAACATCCACGCATTTTATCGAAAGTTATAAAAGTTTTGTTACTTGTAATATGTTTTATCTGCCCCCTGGAATTAATGTTTAGAACCTTGTTCCCAAGGTTTGAAAAACATCCGATTGTTGCCTATTACTCGTATTTACCTGCTGGATTTTTTAATCCGTTGGACAGTCCATCTAGAAAGGCCCTCCTGGATGAAGTTACAGAATCATCAACCCATACTTTACTT